GTACATATGCAGCGTACGTGATTTCTTGAGCAGCCAAGTAAAGGACTAATTTTTCAAATCATTGTTCAATTACACTTGGCCAATTTTTGGAGCAGCTGGGGAGAAACAGATCAGCCTGCACTTAGCAAGGTGTGTGCTCAGTCGGTGCTCATTAGCGTGCTAACTAGCACAACCTGTTAGCGTTGTGCTGGAAAATGCTCTTGGCCAAAGCATAACAGCAAAGAGAGAAGTTCTTAGTTTTTCATATGTGAAAGGTACACTTAAAGGAGGATGGTAACAAAATTACTGCCAGTTCAGTTCCAGGCTCTGCACGGTATTTGAGGACTACAGGCAACATGCTCTAGTTTTCCCACTTGTGGAGCCTGATGCAGCGCTAACCCACGTCACAGTTTTTACTGTGAAGCTGAAAACCTTTAGTAAGTGAAATTCCCGTACAAGCTAAAAATGCGGGACTGTGGGCAGATCAAGAGGCATGGGATCTTCGTTCCCAGCCCAGCACACAGACCTGCACTACCAGTCGCATGTGACCTCTTTCATTCCCTTTGACACTGTGTGGACAAAGTGGAATTATATCTGCTTTTGCCTCTCAGGTGCTCTTGGCTTTTTTGGAGGCTGTGGATCTATTAAAAAATGACTATGCCTACTGTGTGGCACCGCCTTAAGGGTGTCATCGACAGCACTTGAAGGGTTCAAAGGCCTGTTGGTAGTCAGCCTTCTCCTGTCTTCAACAGTGTAGTTGGAAATGCACAATATTAGCAAACCATTAATACTAATAAATTTTTAAATGGTGCGGTAGGAAACTCCGCAGGTGATTAGGTGGGACTTAAAGAAAAAAAAAAAAAAGTAGGCTACTGCATTTTCTAATAAAAATGTTATCTGTCCTTTTCCCATCTTGCCAAAGGTACTCGATGTTGGCTTGGAGGCATACCCATATCCCCCAGAAGAGGCTGAAGATACCACACGTCCACCAGTACGGATAACCCTTAGGCTTTCTGACAATGTGATGTATTTTGAGGATCCTGTGATAGCCCGATGGGATCCTGCAGGTAGGAACTTAGGACATAAATTTATTTTAAATTTGAATAATGGAATTTATACCTGAGTTTGACTATTTCTAGAATCCAGCTATGAAGATAAGAGCCAATTCAGAGCCCAGAAATAATTTTGGGACTTCAGTGTTAATGGATTTAGTGTTGGTTTTGTTTAGTTCTATTTTGCTTCTGCAGCATAGCTAATAATGGGCTGCTTGTTGAGGCTTTTTACTGTAGCTTTTTAATATGAATGGAAAAAAATACACGCCATTTAATGGGCCGTAGTACAACTCTATACCACAAATCAAGTTTTGCTAGGGTGAGGCCATGTAAGGTCCACTTTGAGCCAAATTAGCTCCTAACTACGTGTATTAGTGTTAAGTTAAAATATGAAAATTAAACGTTAAAAACCAAATGCTGTATTCTAGTTATTAGATAAATACAACATACCTCTGACTCTCTTTCATGAATGTAGAGTAGAACCTATGAAAACAGTTTGAAGGTACTCTTGAAAATGAGATTGTGGACTGCTATATAGCGAGTAAGAAATGACAGTTACGTTAGTATCTGTATTTCTTTTGAGATTAAGGAGAAGCTTTCCTGTCAAAATTAGCCTAATCTTGTACCTAAAGACAATTAAAATGAGGGGATTTTGTGCCTAATATTTTCTTTCTTGTGAATATTCGTTAACCTAGGATGTCTTTACTAACTAATTCTTCCCCAGCACATATCACAAGCAGAAGCTTTACATATGCATCATTGTATATTTTTTTTTTTGCATCCCTTTTGTAAAGGCCAACAGTGGAGAACTGATGGCATCAGCAACATAACGTACAAAACACAAGAAGAGAGTATCACCTTTGAGATGGGTGCCTTTTATACAATAGCACTTCTCCAGGATGCTCATCTCAACATGCCGTATCAGGCATGGGAATTACGACCTACTGGTATGGATGAAGCACTACTTACGGTTACTGCAGTCTTTGCAACGATTCAGATACAAATTAAGGTACTGTAAATAATTTTTTTTTTAATAACACATTTGCAGATTTTTGTGAAAAAAAAATACAGAATTATTACAGTGTCCTTTATTAAGAACTTGGGGCGCTTCCACAAGAGCAATTTGGATCTCACTCTGCGCCGGTGAAAATGAGGATCTCTTCCTTTCCAAGCACTGTAAGGAACAGTACAGGTGATTTAATTTCAGTTATTTTCTGTGAACTGGTCAGAAGAAAGCACCTGTATGATCGTTCTGCAAAGTTGCAGTAAGTGCTTTGATATTGATAACTACCTTGCTGAATTCAAGACTGTTTCACCAGCTAGAGAATTGGTCCTCTCTCCTCCCACCTATACCAAGAGAAACGAAAGCATTTCAGGTAACCTACAGCTAATGCTACTTGTTCCTCCTAAAGGTTCAAGTTACACATGATTATCCATATGGCTCATTGCCATATAAATCAGTTCAGTAACAGACATGATTTTAAAAGAGTCGGTATGAGTGGAAGCATGGGCCAGTAGACCAGCGTCATTTCTGAAATCCTGCAGAAAAGTGGCTTTGTTCAGGATATGTGAATGGAAGCTTACAGCCCAGAGTGGTAGATAACGTATGCAATATCCAGAACAGCAACGATATTAATATTTGATGCCTGAAGCAGAAAACAGCTTTCACAACCAGTAAGTTGCTTTCACTGGTTTGTACAACAGGGTAATCAGTGTATGTTGTCTTCAGTAGCGGTGGAAGAGAAGGATGTGCTTTCCCACGTCACAGGAAAATGGATAAGTCCAGTTGACCTAAGAGCAGTTTTGAAAAAAGCTGGTGTGAATATTTTCCCAGGAGAGTATTCTCACAAGTACGTCTCTGTGAACAAGAAGGTGAGTGCCAGCTGGATGGTTTTCCCGTGGGTTTTTTCCACCTATTTTTCACTTCAGTAACATTTTCTTATATGAAGACCTCTTGTGCAGAATCAGGTGGCAAGCATACAAGAGTTCTGCCAACTTAGCCAGTAGCTTCTGGTTAAAGCAAGCTTTTTTTTTTTACGCTTGTAACAAAAACCAAACAAAACTGAATGATATACACATATTTTCTAACGTGTACTTTTGCATTACAGGCTGCCCTGGCAGAAGTTAGGGCCTATCAACAGATGGCACTGGTTGCATCTGCATTTGCTTTTGCTTGGAGCAAGTGGAATCTAGAAGCAGGTCAAGAGCAAGTAGTGTTAAAGGTTTGTGGATTTAGACTAAACTTCTAGAGAAAACCAGTGTAGAACTCTATCACAGTTAGAGAGACAGAAACAATTAACTTCTCTAAGTTACGCTCATCTCAAACATTGTCTTCAACCCCTGCCTACGCTCCTAGTGCAGCAGTTTTAAGACTTGGGGTTGACTACTTCGCAGCGTTCAGCGTGTGTCAGTAAAACTTCAAAGCCTGCTTCTCCACTGCCTCACAGCTCATGCATTTGTGAGCTCTCTAATGGGACACACATCTCGGTAACAAAGACACTTGCTAATGTGCTAGGATGTACAGCTGACAGGTCAGCTTTAGCCAAAGCTGGGACGATGTAGCTGGAAGCTGATTTTCATGAAGTATCCTACTGTAGGGGTCCTCTGAATAGCAGTCTGATGTGTAAGTTTTATAATTATTACCTGGAACTTTCTTCTTGTCCATATGGGGTTTCATTTGTTCCTTACTGTAAAGGAGGGAATAAGCAACTTAGGCGTTGATTTGTTTCCCCTCTGTGAACTAAACCATATGTGGTTAAAACTTTGCCCAGACAGACAGAAAAATACTCCAGTTGCAGATACAGAATGTACCATACTGTCGAAATCTTGAGAAGCTCTCCCACTCTCTTGAGTTAAATGCATGGGACATACAAATATTCAGCCTAATACTTAATCCCAGGAGCAAGAACTAAAACAAGCGATGCCTGTTGCACCTAGCTGCTCTCTCTACAGGAGTCAGGAGCAGCCACTGGAGTGGCCAAACCTTGCATTTTACAAAGGCAAACTGGATGGAAGATTTTGGTGCTGCTACAGTACCTGGTACACAGTCTCTGAGGCACAGAGAGCTAGTATTGTTTGAGGGGTTCAAAGCAGCATCTTGGTTTTGTTTCTGTATTACACTTGTGAGTATGCTAGAATTTATATTCTAGTATGAAATTCTAAACTCTGACAGAGTTATGGGCTTCATCTTACAGTGCATTTTATTCTGCAATAGGTAAGTGAGCATCTTAAAGCAGATCCTGTCAGAGACAAAGACTGGTCTCTTTACATGTTTAATGGTCAGAAAGCACAAAAGCTCAAGATCACCGAAACCAGCGAAGCTTTTTCAGAAGAGCTAGAAGAAAGTTCTGAATTTCACTCCACACTCTACCATATGCTTAAGGACTTTGCCAGCAAAGAAGCAATTGATAAAGTGGAAACAGCTAGCTTCTTATTTATTGATGTTGTGTATCAGCTACTACTTGCTACAAGAGTTTTAACGTACTCTTAAATACTGCATGCTTTCCTTTAAAACTTTATTATCAAAAGCTTTCAGTAAAGTTACATTTCAAGTCTTGAATCCTTTTCTATTCAAATCATTGGAACAGCTTCAATGACTAAAATGCAAACATTTTATTTTTGTTAAAGCAAAATAAGTTCTTTATTCTCTTGCGGCTAGACCACTTAGCCATATTTATTGTTAGCTATGTTCAAAATTACTAACTGTTTTATTGTAAACCTGAATGAGAACTCAGACCCTTTTAGGTACTTGTAAAGATGACTTTTCTTGGAATGGGGGGGAATAAAATTTTTTCAATTTCAAGTCATGATATAAAAAAAAAAACAAAAACCAAACAAAAAAACATCTCCCAAGAAAACACCCACAACTCAACAAAACCACCCCAAACATGTAACCTTAAATATACTATCTCAGCTTCTCATACTGTCATCCAGAACTTGGAAGTATAACTACAAAAGTCAGAACCTTTGTTATACTGGGGGTGGTCCATTGTGTTGAAGTCCTGTATATGGCCACAACAGTTGCTGTAGTGAGGTCCAGGAGTCCCCAGTTCCTACAGGTGCTGCGTCTGCTGGTCTTTGAAGAGACAGCCCAGTGAGGAAGCTTGTAAGAGCAGCAAGCAGTACCAGGATGGAAACAGAAACCCAGAGAGTTTTGTTAGCGTTGGAAAAGGAAGTCTTGAAATGGGATGCCAACGATGACATTAAATTGCACCTGCACAGAAAAGTCAGTCATAGGGCGGTTCAGTTTTTCTTCAAAACTTGGAAGCCCTCTTCCCACCCCACTCCCCCGCCCCAAAAATCCCTGAAGCAAACCAGACCCCACAACCATCAAAAGTGACATGGTTGTTCCTGTATTGGGAGCTGTGTGCAATGGTAGCTTCTGTTCTGGGTTTAAAATGCAGGCTTTGGTAAGCGAGTTCTCGATAAGCTATTTAGGTGACTGACCTGACTCATGAGCCCAGTTCAGGCACCCATGCTCCCTGTACCCTGCTGTGTTTCTGAAGTGGATTCACAAAAGCTGCCTTGCAGCTCATGAAGAAATCTTGCTTGTAGAAAGCACTGAAAAGTGCTGGCCTTGTGTTTTATTGTTTTCTAGGGCTTCGGTGCCTTCCCGAGGTCTTATCCTCACTGACTGTCCAAACCCTAGACCTTTCATGACGTTGGGTACCTCCATCCTTTATCAAACAATAGAAAGAAATATTTGTTCTTGCTGTCTTCTCAGTTTTAACACGCTAGCACAATTGCCTTGTCTCCCCCTTGATCAGGAATGCTCAAAGTGGAGGCTTAGCATGGGATATTCATATGGAATAAACAGTTTCTCTGCAGAGACAACAGACTGCCTTTCCTGTAAGGCAGGGGCTTCCAAGGGATACTTGTTTAGGACAGTACTCTCTTCCTTGACTTGAGATATCCAGAGAAATTAGCTGGAATAGTCTAGAATTAGTCTTGATAACTGCTTGTCTCTCAGTGTGTGCCAAAGCTGCTGTTAAGTTTTGCACAGGCCTCAAATCCTTGATCATTTTTACAAGAGCACATGTTAGCATGACCTAGTAGCCTAGCTATAACAGCCGTCACAGAGTAACCAGAAGAGGTGGGATCGTAGCATGAGGTTCCTTCCTCTTTACCTCACCATTTAGGATTAGTAACGAATCCCTGGGTGGGGTGAGTCTCTGGCACCTAAGATTACTCATTCCCAGTTGGTTTGTTTAAGAAGTCGGCATTAACAACCAAGCCAAAGCTACAGCTTTGCTTCCTCTTCCCATGTCCACCACCCAAATGTTGCTTTACCTCATGATGATGTGAGAGAACTTACGCTGACTCTAGGCTCCATTTTGATGAATATTTTCCTTTTTCAGAGATACTTTCCTTCTTTGATGGTTCTTCTTGTACTTCAGCAGGTGATTCCGACTGCTCATTTCTGTAAGCAAGCATCAACAGTTCCAAAGCTTTTCCATCAAGCATTCAATTTGACAGAGCTCACAATAGCTTGACTTTATAGCTCTGATCAGGTGGTGGACAGTTAGAAGTTCATTAAAAAACAAACCAACCAACCCTGCACACACACCTCAGAGGAGATTGCTGTTGAACTTACTTTGTTTCAGCATGTTCGTCTTCGTCCTCTGCCCAGGAATATGTGCTAATGAACCGCTGTAGTGAAGGACGCTTCTCGTTTTGCTTTGCTCCCAGTCGTCCCCTGTCATATTTTAAAGAAATTTGCCTTAATTTCCCCATCAGATATACAGCAGGAAATTAGAAATTCAGCAGCAGCCTACTCATTTGGGTAGGTCTTAGACAAATAAGTTCCAAAGTTAGTTGCCTGAAATTAGGATTTTTTTTTTTTTTAAAACATGACCAAAAAAGCCATATCCATTGATGCCAGCTGCCTAGATTTCATATTTTAGTTCTAAAGCAAGAAAGTTGAGGTAATTTGTTTTTAAAACTCTCAACCCTTAATAAAAAAATAAATAAAAGAAGAGCTGTAACATTTGGTCGAAGGCTCACTTACCTATCGAAGCATGTAAAACTAACGTGAAAGGTGTAGCCTAAACATTATTACACCACAAGATGCTCCATCAGCTGCTTAATACAGGCACACTTAGAGTTGAAAAATATTTAACCCTGTTCAAAGACAAGCCCAAATAACTTTACCAACTGCTTGACCTCCTGCCGAATTTATCACTCCGTTCATCTCCGCCAGGTTCATGGAATTGGGCCTAGAGAAGAAGTTTGACACACTTAACTGCATTGGCATTTTCGCGCTTCAGCCCAGCCAGTTTTGAGATGGTAAAGCACCTCACCATCTGGGAACCCTTACTTACCAGTGGCAACCCAATGCCTGCATTTGCAGCACTCCTGGGCAACGTTGCAATGCTAACTCTTCGAAGGGATGATGATGGCTATAAAAATAAGAGGCATTACTGACTATCAAGGAATGACTAGACTACTCACTGATCACATAAAATATCATCTGTTTTTATGCAAACTGTATAAAAAGTGACACACAAAGAAGAATCAAATCATAAGCGCAGCCCAAACCATATTCTTTAAAGCAGCATCTTTCCACATTAACTGCTTTTCCCTCCTCCAAGCATCTGAAGTGAGGCTGGCTACACAGATTCCAGCAAAATACCAACACTGAAGGCATCTAAATTCTCCTAATGGTGCTCACAGGAATTCCTACAGTAAATTTGAATTGCCCCCATCTATTTTTTTCATCTCTGTGCTAAACCCTCTTCTGTAGCCCCAATGAGAGAACCATACATGAACAATATTTCTTAACCATTGCATGACAGCACAGCCATTTTGGCTTCTGTGAACGCTTCATCTTCTAAGCGGGACCACATGCAGTTCCCTCAGGTTGGTGGGGGTGATTGAAAAAAATATATCCTCGTGTTTGATGACATTGGCCCATATTTGAGACAGAAAGCTACCAAGTCAAGCACGTAGCAGAGCACCAGCATGTGAGAAGGCAAAGAAAAAACACATAAACACACACGCACACTTAAAAAGACACTTGAAATGTCACGTTAAGCTGTAACAGCCGTTACCTTAAAGTTAAAAGAATTTGGTAGCTTTTTATTTGTAGATTCATCTGTGAAGAGATCAAACATCAGAAAGGCTTACAGGAATGCAGTGAGCTTTATTTGCAACTAACGGTCTGACTTTTTGCAGTCTATCAGAGTACTCTCAGAAAGCAGAAATGAGATTTCAGGAAAAAGCTTCCTATTTCATTAGGTAAGTTCGTAATATTCACACATTATACATACTCTACAAGCATCAGTTTCTGTTGCTAATCATTAAATGTATTCTTCTATTATCGAGGCAGTGTCCTGTTACAGGACAATCTTTTACCGTCAGGAAGGAATGGCCCGTGATTCAGACTGCTCCTGCGAGGATTTTACCAGTGTGCGAGACTGCCCTTTCTGTTTTTAAAAATACATGCTCTATTTTTCAGAAGAATTTAATCCTTCTGTGGCAAAACCACAAGTGCACAGTGCCATCTGAAAACCTGACCACTGTACCATCTGCTTACAGGGGGAAAATTCAGAGCAGCTGCACTTAAAGAGTCTATAATTCGTATTTAGAAAAGAGCAGGAAGCATCTGTAGAGAGCAGTCAAAGCTCAGCTACCTAGAAATAGCTACTGGGAATGCTCCAGTGTGAGTGAGCACCCAGATCTACTGCTCACAAGGAATAAGATTATCACCACCACGTGCAATGCACTTTTCTAAAAGCCAGAACATTACTGCATACTTGCAGTGTTTCCCCCCCCTGCCCCAAGATTCATGACAATTTACATACAAGTCTAATTTCAGAGAGTTGTTTCTAGTACTGTTAGTAAATGGCTATTTTTTTCCTCTATTTTTAGGAGATGAGATACAACGGTCCATATAACCCCTCCACCTACTATGTTAAGCTTCAATTAGATAAGGGTCTATCTGGCAGGTGCTAGAAAGAGGAAAGACGAAGCAGCTTTACCTCGATCTCCAAGAGAACTAAAGGATCTCTCATTCTGGAGCAGGACCTGTTTCAGCTCCTCAAGTTCTGCATGTTCTTTTGTGTACATGCGCTTCAGGTTTTCCACGTGTTGAATCATTACTTCCACAGCCTTGCTGACACGGCTCTCCTAACGGAGGGAGTGCAACAGCAGTAGGAAAAAGAAGCAGCTTTTTGAGGAACTGCATCGTGTTTAGAGTTTAAGACTTTTTTCCCCCCTTAATGGTCTACTCTCACCTTGTATCACCATGATGCAACATCCTCTCATTTTTGTCTACCCTTTTAAAGTTTCACTACAACCCATCTCTCGACACATGCCCAAGTTAAGACAGGTCTCATTTCTCCAGTGATTACTCTTATCCTAAAATAGTCTTCATTTTCTGAGCCCTTACAGCTCCTCCTCATCTTTTTCTCTGATCTACAGTCTCAGCTGCCACCACGCGTTTTCTAGTACTGCCAAGTCACATTTCCATCCTGTTCTTTGGCATTATACACAATTACACATAACATTTGAGCAGGTCTTTGTAAATTTCCATAGATCTAACTTATTAGCTGCCCTTTCCATAAGGCACAGAATTACTGTTAGAGCATCAAGACGATTTTGTTACCACATTGCGTTCTTGTGCTCTCTACTGTATACATTCCTCTGATGCAAAGTTTTTACTGGATTTTTGTTTGTTCAGGGGGTTTTTTTGTTTGCTTGTTTTAAATCAGGACCATATTTCTGTTGTGTGTTTCTGCACAATGCTAGTGCAATGTAGCTGCTCTCACAGTGCCTGGGATTCCTTGTAACACCACAAACCATGATCCGAGAAGAGAAAGCCAGGACTAAGCTGTACTGGTCAGTCTGCATTACGTACATTTAGATTGCTAAATCTAATTCCGGAATCGGAAGCCTGGCAAACAGGCACTGCTATCCCTTTACATCTAGAAGCTTTTAACTTTCTACAAAATACATTTACGTGGAAACGGTTACCTGATTAATAGCTCCCAACATCTCTGCTCTACTGGCGACTCGGGCTGCATACTGGCTAAGGAACTGCAAGCTTTTCTGCAACTTCTTAATAATCTCTTGCGCTTGGTTATCTTCTTCACACAAAGGAGCTAAAGCCTAAGAGGCATATTGGTAAGAAAAGCAGCGTGAGCTGTTAGTAGAGAAAGGAGGCTGAACCCAGCTGATGACACTGAGGGGTTGTGTTCATGTCCACACAGTCAAAAGATCAACATCCAACATCCTCAATCAGTGTAACTTGACACAGACCTCCAGCAGGCAGAGACTTCTCTTTACCTAGCATAGAAATCAGCTGAAGACAAGGGTTCTTGCCAGGCAATAGAAAAGTTCCCCACTGCCTGAGTGCACGATACACTCAGATGAAGGTTACCCCCCAAATGCCAAGTCTCTCATGTTTCAACTGCATCACTTAAGAACTTTGTTCAGATTTGCTTATAACGTATTGCACACACACACGCATCCTAAGAGCGGCGGTACTGAGAGAGAAACTTTCACAACCCTTCTTCCCATCCAACCTACCAGCCTTAGCCAATACTAACCTCTAACATCTTTAGAGCATTTGTGATCTCCTTTTTCAAGTTTTCTTCAGCCAAGTCTCGGGACCTTTCTTCAAGCTTCACTCTCTTGTCCAAGGTAAACAAGTCACATTTAAAACCTAAAGACAACCTCAGAAATTCAGCCTGTTGTGGGAGAGGGAAAGATTTCAGAATAATCCAAGTGATGCAGAAGCTTTTAAAGTAGATTTGGATACTGACATGACATTTGGGACTATACCCCACGAACAAAGTTCTAGGAGAGATACAGAAGAGAAAGCAAACACGGCCCACTTCCACAAAGCCAGTCTTCCCATCTGTAGTGATGGGGGAAATAATCTGCCACCAGAACAGGTGATATCCTGGCAGCACGCAGTGTGCCATCTGTGTCTTTTGACAAAACTCTCTTAAAGCAGCACATTCTGCCTGGGAGGAGGTCACAGCTATGCTCCTTCAAGCTTGCAAACAAATGTTTTAATAGTGACAAATCTTTTTTTCAGTTTTACAGATGGCCACCTTTTCCCATCCCTTCCAAAATTTCCATGGAGCTTGGGAAGACAGATTTCAGAAGCCTACTTATACATCCAGTTTAAGCTACTCAACATCATTCTTTTATATAGGACAAGATATTAATCAGGGCTTATCGACAAGATCTTTCTGTTGTCCGAGATACTTAAGGATACAAGCAGTCAAGACTTACCTCCACTTCTTTCTCGTTAGGAGAGTCACTGTAGGATAAGAAGAAGCAATCATGTAACAGGCTGCAGCTTTAAATTCATACCTGCAGGTGATCATTCAAAGTCAAAACACTTACGGCTCATTTTGCTTTGTTTTATCTGCTTTAATGCCACCTGCAGTGGGTGAACTCCCTGAGAAGAGAGAAGAAAAGTTCTCAGACAAAAGTGAAAGAACAGCCTCCCCAAAACAACTTGTGAAAGTCTTTTAAGCTCCAGCAGAAGCCACCGTTAAAGATTTCCAGTGTTAAGCTCTTGCCAATAAAAACAATTGGTGTACCTCAGAGTACATTAGGGTTAGGGTCAGTAAGACAGCACAACACTGTCACTTGTACAAAGCCCCAAAAGTTAGTTGTGTAGTTGGCTTCAACTGTACAGGAATGGTTAATTATAGGTTTTAAGTCCCCAGCCCATAGGTTCAGGATGTTACATCACTAACTTTTAGTGAACTCCAAAGGCAGAAGGTGAGGTGGTGAGAAGAGTAGAGATGTCTAAGCACAGTTCAGTAGAAACATCATCCTGCTTATCTATATCATATTGCCCCAAGCTCTAGCTAGCATAGAGGTTGCTGCTTTACAAATTCTTTGGGGGGAGCAGGTGTGCCAAAACTGTTTCAAATATCCCAAGCCCTTTGCAAGTCCTAAGAAATTTTCCCTCCTGTCTAGAGGAAGACGGAGCTGGTTAGATCAGTATCTGTAGGAATCAGGGAAGCAGGTTTTGCGTTATAACATTTTCCTTCTCTCCACTGCTAATCCGTTTTGATCTCTAACTGCAGCTACTATTCCTTAAAACAAAACCCTCTCATAATAATTGGTGTGGGGCAGGCAGCTCTCTGCACCTCTTTACACAGGTCTTGACGCAAGTGACCAAAGCATGCATTCCAGTGAGTTAAATGAACGTGTATAGCAAAAACCTCTTACCTTTCCTACTGGGAACCACAGCTGGTGCTTCCTCACTCTGCTCTTTATTATTTTTCTTTTCCTGGTCCACCTCCTAAAGGCATATCAGAGAGTAGTTATAGCACGGGAACAGCCACACCACCACTGGAGGGGCCTGTCCCCTCCTGCAGTGTTTTTCTTTGTCACTGCTCAGCCAAACCAGTTCTGTTTCATCGTCACTAGGACTCTTACCAGGTCTTGCTTTAAAACGTTTTGAAATGCGGTTTTGTGCTCTTTCATCACGGGGAGGAATTCCTTCTCGGTCAGATCTGCTCCTGTGGAGAAACATTCCCAAAACCAAGTGTAACGATAAAGACAAAACAAGCCTCCAACACCCAGTGTACTAGCCATGGACCAACATGGCTAAGAGAAACTGCAGCGAATGCCAGGAGAGGGCATTAAGAAGGAGAGGCAGCAGCAAAGAACGCTATAAAGACATAAAGGAAGAAGTGTGATGATAATTATGTTTGGCTTGGAAAAAATCCCAGTAAGAAGCGCCACATGTCTACAAGTGAGAATATGACTCCTGGTTGTAGTCGCAAGACTTACAGTAATATTCCCTTGGATAAATGAATTTCATTATTTTTCTACCAGCATGGGGTTTTTTGTTTGTTTGCTGTTTAAAGAGACGGTTTAGAATTAATTTTTATTTGGAATTCTATGAGCACAGGAGTATGTAAAAAGAATCCCATGCACAAACTAACAGGAGAAGCGATGAGTATCTGTAATTCTCTTCTTTCATGTTATGGGATATCAGATGAAGTCAAGAAATCGATGTTGCTTCAGCTGCCGTAACAGAGGAGCTTGAGCACAACCAGGTCATGAGTTGCATACGGTTGTGGTATTTCAGGTGTCCATAAGCCTCAGACATAGTCTGACACGTAGACTGTCCTTTGTACCCAAAGACTGGACTAGCAGGGTGCTGATAGAGCCAACAAAATAACTCTCTTTCCCAGAAGATGACTGGTGATGAACTGATAAGCTCAGGAATGATTATGCCAGTTCAAATACAACACAAACTTTCAAGTGCCGCAATTTAGAAAAGCTTTAAAGCAGGCAAAAATAACCTCCAGGAAGACAGCTATTAAAAAGGATTTAAAAAGGAAAATATTTAAGAAACTGAAGAAAGTCTGAAAGTCACACTAGTTTCTTGTGTAGCAGTAACTCTGGTAGCTATTTATACCCTTTAGAACATCTAGAAGGTTTTTTTTCTTTTCTGTTTATGTAGTCATACACAGTCACCCACACAGATGCAAGCCAAAGAAATGGCACAGGAAAAAAAACCCAAACCCACATACCTTCAGGTTTGAAGTGCTTTCTCTTTTCATCCTTCACATGAACAACCACCTCTACTTAGCACTGCCTTTTGTCCCTGCTGATTTTTGCAGGGATCCGACCTGGCTGCCAAGCACCTTTAGAAGACATTGTGTGGTACTCGCAAAAACCACAAGTGGAGATTCAGCAGTGTCTCCGTTCTAATACTAGAAACACTTTCTATTCAGAGATGTACAACAGGCAGCAGGATTCTCAGACTTTAAAGCTACTTGGACTCTTTCTGATCTGTTTTGCGTATCTGTTTCCTCCCTGCCAAAGGCACCTAGACTACATATGAAAATTAACAGTGGAGGCAAATTAGTAGAAAGAAAATACATTTAAGTGAGGGGACTGAATTAGATTTCAGGGAGATAGTACTAAAGAAAGAAAACCAAACAAGAAATGACGACAAGAAGTCTCATATTTAGGTAAAGGTTAAAAAATAGTTACAAGCAAGCATGCGCATGTATTCCGTGCTGCTTATTCAAATCAGCTTTTTTGTAAAAAATAGCTTAAACACACTGTGTACACATACTCCAGTTTTGTTTTGCTTTTAGTTTTTAACGTGGAAGAAGCACCAGCAGATCTGGTAAGAATAATTCTCCTGGGTGTTTATGGCTATAGCAAAAGACAGAACCACACACAAAGGCCTCTATCCTCGTTGCTCTTCTTGACCCATCCCAGCTTGTACGCTGAGCATCAGTTTTGAAAGAGAGGAAAGCGTTATGTAGTCTAACTTTTTAAAGCCGTGAAAACGTTCTCCCTCTCCCCTCCCAAAATTGCCTGGGGTTTAGTGCCCACACAATGTTTTGCCAGCTGAGCAAGCATCAAGATTTCACTAAATTATTTCACATTTACTTCCTGCAGTGCTGTAGGCTACCGGCCTCCTGCAAGTAGGTGAAGCCTTATTCCTACTCAGAGTTTCAGGGAGGGTTGAGAGCACTCACAGGCAAAAGTATGTTCAACAACAGAAAAATCACAAGTTGCCATTAAGTTATTTTTCTTACTCAGCTTCCTCACTTCAAAGATGTGCTGGAAGCAAGCCGTTTCCTCACTGCACGAGTGCCAGTGCGCTGCAGCAGTTACTGTACCTGATACAGGACCAGACGGATCCTTATCATTGTTTTTATCCGTTGCTACGGAAGTTGGCACATCTTCCTCTTTTTCACATGAGCACTTGGGTGATTTGTCCTCCATAACAAGGCGGCCTATAAGTTCAGGCAACACGAGACAGAGCTCTTACTGTTCAGTAAATGCGCAGACTTGAGCATATCTATTTTCAAGACTTTCAGCGCAAAAAGTTCACACATCTGTGCCCCAAATTAAGGGCTTACCCGTTACTGGTGCAGTGCTTTCCAAAGAGGATGCGAGAACTTCTTGGGGTGAAGTTAATTGATCACTGCCAAAATAAAATTCTTTCAGATACTCATCCATATTACACAATCTTGATAAAGGCTTTTAAAAGCTTGCACAAACCCTGACCTGGATGGGATCAGACTGGCTGGTAGTGTTGGCTCTGCACACTCAATCTGAATGGGAAGAGAGAAGGGTTAGTATCAGGGAAAGGGTTGCCATGCGAGTAGAAAACTTGTATGTCAAAGTTTTAATAATTCCCTCAGCTGTGCCCGAGTTATTTCAGCAGTGAAGAACTAGATGGTAAGTGCACGCAGATTCATCTGCTAGTCTAAAGCCACCCATACATACAGCACGTAACTCAGCATCTTATCATCATCAGGAGTGATAATTATGTTTCTGCAGAAATCTCATCTCAGGAATATCATACTTAGGGATGTATTTTGGTACCCAACTTCATGTTTTGCTTCTAACGCACATTTTCAAATGACCGACCTACGTGTTACCACACCACTGTTCCATCTTAATGTTGTGCATCAAGATATATCCATTTTCAAGGTCTCGACCTCAAACCCCACAAGTGAGGTGCACAGAGCTTCACTCAGCTATACATGACAGACTTGTTTAGGTAAGTAAAGCGTTACTATTAACAGCTCGACCGAGCAAATGATTCGGAACACAGAAAACTTGCATGTTGCATTGTACATTTTAGCATGTGTCTTTGAATGACACTAGTTTTCAATATTGTAATTAACAATTACACCTAGCCAGTTCAGAAGGCTTCAGACCTCCTCCTTCATATGCAAACAGCAGAGAGGAATTCAGCAGTTAAAGGCTGCTACGTAGTTTTGCTCATGTTCCTTTAGTCGCTACAAAACGGTTCTGGACCCGAGTCTTACCACAGAGAAAAACCAACATCCTCTTAAGTCTTAATATGACAAGGGAGATACCAAATGGGAAATATCCCTCTTCCTCATTTCACCCAGGATAACTCCAGCTTGCTTATTCAATTGATAGACTGGTCTCTCTTTATGAGTGAAAATACAGGGTGAAACAGGTTTAAAGGGTTAAGTCAGTAATGACTTGTGATGAACTCCGCCCACTGCTGAAGAGGAGTGCTGAACACACACACACACACCCCCCCCCAACCTATCTCTAAGCAGAGAAGGTGTAAGACTAGCCACCTTTGGGTAGCTCCTTACGTATCAAGTGTCCAAGAACATTACTGAAGTCAGGGGGACACAACAGAAAAGCCATATCAGCGAGTGATCATCTATGTTCTGGTATCTTCCCTTCCCCCTCAAACATCCTCAGAGGACCCAGGAAACTCAGTAAAGTTGAAAAGGAGGTGACCAAGGCCCCTGGTCACTTCCGAGAGCAGCCGGCTGCTCCCAGCATCAGCAAGTGCCTTCTCTCTCCTCTCCACTCCTCCACCCATCAGAGCTTGACTGCACTCACAGAGCCTTGCCCCAGGCAGCTGGATGTTTCCTCTAATGCAAATCCAGGCTATTTTTATTCTTATTTGAATTCTCTATTAAGCTTAAGGAAGTACAGCATTGTATTTGCCTTGTTCAAGCCATTAGGTCTACAGGAGTATTGGAGAAGGGAAAGGTGAGAATAAATAGCGTGTTGGAATGAAAACAAAAGAAATCTAAAGCACTTTTAAAACACCACCACCCCCCCCCAAACAAACAAACCAAAAAACCTTGCATCACCTGGAACTGACTAAAGCAATACATTATTCTGCATGCCCTCTCCCTCCCCAGGTAATCACACGGTCAGCGGTTTCTGTTTGCAATGAAGGAAAATCCTCAATTCAGTTTTTAAAACCCCATGCTGGCTCTTAGGATTGTGAGCTGCCATGGATTGCACAGGGTACACTTAAAGAGAAAGCAACAACAACAAAACTCCACATTCTAGATTTCCTAATAAAAATGTGTTTCCACAGGGCATTAGAGAATGGTTCTTCTTCCTAATAAAAGGATTGTGTCAAAGAAGATCCTGCAGTATGATCCAAATTACTTTTTCCCCTTCCACCCCTTCGATTAGCATAATAATCCAAGGATAATCCAAGTAGTAATCCAATCTATCACAGCAGACAAATTTTGGCCACAGTCGTGCATAACTCCTCCCAAACAAGCATTAACATTTGGAAGGCCTATCACCTGGTTTTTAGACTGTGATACAACTTTCATATTCATAAAATATAAAAATATATTTGTATAAAAATATACAAAACAAGTATAAAAAGCCTAAGCTTCATCTGGCTCTCACAAGAGCTCCATTATTAAATAGCCCCTAAACTCCAATGGTGACAACGCTTTGACAAAATAATTTGAGTTACTTACATGCTGAAGGGCTCGATTTGCTCAAACACATCTGCAACCACAGTGTATTAAAAAACCACACCACTAGGGAGACTTTTCCTATTAAACAAGGATATTCAGATATTGCTACACATCATAGTTTTTAGACTAGACACTGGACACAGCCTGTTTGCCTTTTCACAGGGGCAAGCTTTAATATTTTAATTTCCCCCCTCTAGAATATTCACATGGAAGTTTATATAAAAAAAGGCAAAAATGGAAAATGACATTTTTGAGCCCAGCTAGAATTACAGAAAGTTTGAAAGCAATGAAGCACAACTTTGCAAGGCTGTGACTTTCCAGAAGGACTGGGTAAAGCAAGAGCCCTGGAGATTATCCTCTTTAAGGTAGCTTAAGTAGTAGCAGCCCAAGCTAGGAGTTCCACACCTGCTCTACCCGAACCCAGCAGTGTGCCGAAACCACAGGCGATCTCCATCACTCTTACTTTTTACCCTCACAGCACTTTCTGCTTTGATCTGCCACTACAACCGGACCACTGCTGCACTTGAAGGTACCACACACCAGCTAGCGTAGGTCTGAGGTTGCCTGCTCATTAGTCTTGCAAAGGTTATTTCCAGGTTCACAGAAACCACTGACCAATATTCTTCCATCATCACCACTACCAACGCCAATACTGGAGTTTGTAAAGCTAACTGGAAACCCCGGGTGGCAGGGCTGAGGTCTAGATTTCAATAGCGAGTATTGTGGCACTGAGCACAGAGCACAACTAGGTGTGCTGAGCTGCAGCTCATCTTGCTGTTGCCACGAGAAAGCCGACTGACAGCTCAAACTGTAGATGCAGGATTCAATACAGCAGTGAAAGCATATCTGAGCACATCAGCTGAAGGAAAGTTTTCATACAGCAAAGAAGTAATTTTTCAGCTGTTACGTGGTAGCCGTGGGAGAAAGCGCAGAGAAAGACAGCATTCACAACTGAAACATCCTGTGGCTTCTTGCAGGTGGATAAAAAGAACGAAGTCACTCAGACTTCCCTGGCAGAATTGAGTATTCCTGCAGAAACAGCACTGTTTCAAGCCTTGAAACCGTGTTTAAAATACAGCTAAAAGCATGACCCAGACCCATTTGAACATCAAGACATTTAGGTCTACAACTACAGTATTCCAGAAACGTGCCCAAATAGAAGGGACTACCCCACACAGAACAAGATGTCACAGCACCCTGCTGACTGATGCCAGCTTCATTCACCTTGGAGCAGTGCTGATTTATGGCTGCTCAATCTGGATCCGAGCAAGGCACTAAACGCTTGAACCCATTCAAAACCAGATCTCGGGCATCAGAGACAGCACTCACCTCCGTAAGTGAAGAGTCCATCATTGTAATGGAAACAGGAAGGTCTGCATCAGTATAGTTACCAGCAGAGCATATTTTCCACCTGGCAATACACATTTTATTTGCATATTGCCCAAACAACAGTGAGATATATTGCCCATTTTCCTTAAGCACATAACAACTGAAGTCACCACTATCTGTATAGTCAGACAGCTGGTCTCTCGGAGAAAGACAGACAAATTCATCACTACCATCAATCCCTCCTCCCCCAAACAGCAACAACCACCACCAGTCCTTCTCCCAACCTCCTCCACACTGCACAGCTCTGCAGAAAACCAGTGGCAAAAGCTTCAAGAGCTGCTGAGTCTTTTGCTGCAGACTGCCTGCCTCTGCATCTTCAGGAACATCCTTATCTTTTAAAATATTCACTGACAACGGTTAGCTAGCTTTCATAATCTTAAGCAGTTCAATCTCTATTTTAAAGAACTAAGGAGGCAGCTTGATAAGCAAAGACCTCAGAACTCCTGCTCTAAACTCTGCAAGAGAAATGTGACTCCTCAAAGCCAATAGGATTTTGGCTGCTAAATGGGAGTGTCAGTTGTGAGTTAAATACTGAAAATAGACACAAGAATGCCTACATCATGCCTCAGTTCTCCAGCATGAAAGGGAAACACCGTCACTGTATTTGGCTGGTGGTCATACCAACAGTTTCAGTAAAAAGTTTTAATATTATGTTTGTGAATAGAAGTGTTACCCCATAACACCATTAGCTGACCACCGAGTGTCCAGTGTTTCCTGTAAGAGATGCCCTGCTGTTGAACTCGGCACGTGCTGGGGATACAGCTTTCCCTTGGAACCTGCTAGGTCCCATGGACTCTTCTGCCCTTCACCACAGAGAGGTTATTCTGCCATCTTACTTGCACCCCACTGACGTCACATCTGAAGCAGACACGCGTCCCAGATCACAGCTTTCAAACATGCAGCTGCCAGAGCTCTGTCTACAGGGCCAATCCCAGCCGTGCACAGGAAAGTTATTTGGGCATGAGGTTTCCAAGGTCAGAGCATCTGTTAAGAGAGACAAGTGTGAAGAGTGGTGGTCATTGGCAAAGTTGGATTTAGTCACATGTCAATTTTTTACTAACTCTAAAATAATCAAGAAGCAGACCAATCAAATACGGATGTATAATAAGGCAGCTTCC